CTGTGCCCAGGACAGGCAGGTGCTGCTGGTGTTGCTTAACTCTGTCAGTGCCTAAGGATGCCCTGATGCTCACTGGGTGGTGTTGGGCAGGGATCATGCCAAGGGAAAATGCCCAAGGATGCCCTGATGCTCGCTGGGTGGTGTTGGGCAGGGATCATGCCAAAGGAAATGCCCAAGGATGCCCTGATGCTCACTGGGTGGTGTTGGGCAGGGATCATGCCAAGGGAAATGCCCCCAGCCCTGCAGCAGCCTCACATCTCAGCTGGGAGCTCAGCACTAAGGACACAATGGGAAGGAGCTCCAAGGAAGCTGAGGCGATTAAACTGTCCCAGTGGCGTTAGCAGTTCATCAGGAGGTGCAGATAGCTGGGATTTCTCAGGCTGGGGCTGAAACGCCCTTTCACAGCACGCTGCTGCTCAGCGCAGCCCAGGAAGTGTGGGAGTCCATTGTTAGGGGAGCCACGAAAGCGACTCCCACTGTGTGGGATGAGGTTTGTAAAGCCTTCACCCAGCTCGGGCTGACCCTGACCTTGCTCTTGGAGCCGTGTCACAGGAAAAGTCCCCGCTGCACAATTCCCAGGGGCTGGTGTGCGTGAGGAGCCGAGCTCTGCCCGCCTCCGCACTCCCAGCCAGCATTCCCCTTGTTCCCCTTGGGAAGGAGCAGAGCCTCTCTCCTCTCCTCTCCCTTTTCTCAGGTTGTTTCTCAAGCATCTCTGCAGTGTTTTCTGTAAATTCCTGTGTCATTATAAACCCTGACTCCACTTTGGGAGGCTCCCTGTTCCTTGTGGAATATTGCAAATCTTGTTCTGGTCAAAGAAATTCCTTCAAATTCAAATGCTCTGTTTTTTGGTTTTATTTGTTTTTTGTGTCCTGCTCATGTGCAGCAGGCTGAGCTCAGAGTCCTTTGGAACAGAGCGTAGCAAAATGCACAGGAGTTATTGAGTTATGGCTCTAAGTGTGGAGCCTTCTCCACATCAAAGGTGACTCCTTTGAATTAAAAAAGAAGATATTAAAGTTGCAGGCACTTGATCAAGGAAAAAAAAATATTTTTCCCCTTCAATCGCTCAGAGTCTCAGGAGAGCCTGGAGCAGTCTGAGAGGCGCAGGGAGCGGTGGGAGCAGAAGCAGCACAGGAGGAAGAGGAGGAGGATCAAGCAGCGCTCCATCAGCAGGGAGAAGTGGGTGGAGACGCTGGTGGTGGCAGACACCAAGATGGTGGAGTTCCACGGCAGTGCCAACATCGAGAAGTATGTGCTGACCGTCATGAACATGGTGAGTGCTGGGCCTGGGGGGCACCCAGAGCCCATCCGGGTCTCCCTGATATGGACAGGGCCGCCTGCCATGGGACCATGGGCATGGGGGATGTGGTGTCCAAGGGAGGTGCTGGACAGCACAGCTGAGGAAGGACAGCCAGGCTGTGGTGGTCTCTGCTGGGCTGGTGCCACGACACAAGCAGAGAAGGAGGTGGCTCAGTCTGTCCCTCTGCTGCTGCCCGGGTGGCACCTCTTGGCACTCCAGAGGAAAGCTTTGGTTGATGCCAGGAAAGGGTGGGATGGAGCTCAGGTAACATCCCTGGGTTTCTGGGGGTGATGAAGAACCCAGAGAGCACCAAATCCTTTGGGATGTTAAACACTTCCAATAGGAGTGAGAGCAGAGGGGTCCCCCGGGCGTTTCTGGCTGGGTTCCAGTGCCTGCTCAGATCCATGGAGTGTAAATGGATTTCATGGCAGCTCCAGCCCCGTGTCTGCTCTTGCCTCCCATGTGGGGAATTCCTGAGATAGGAATTCCTGTCAGCAGCCTCAGCAGCTTCCCCTGCAGGAGCTGCCGAGCTGGAGGTGGCAGGGCCAGCGTGCTGGCTGCTCTGTGTCCCCTGCCATGTCCCCTGGTGTCCCTCTGCAGGTGGCAGGGCTGTTCCACCACGCCAGCATTGGGAACCCCATCAACATCGCCATAGTGCGGCTGATCCTGCTGGAGCACGAGGAGGTGAGCCCCAAAGTGGCCCGGGCTGGGCTGGAGACCCCCAGGGTTTGCCTCCCTCCTGGGCTGTCCCCCTGGCCCGGCCCAGTGTGCGTGTGGGAGAAATCCAGGTGCCCACCTTTGCCTCCTCCTCACGGCTGGTGGGCCAGGGATGGGGTGGGGTGGGCAGAGGAGCTGCAGAGCCTGGTTTGGGCTGGTTTGTGGTGGCACACACAGTGTCACTGTGCTGCCAGAGGGCTCTGGGGCGCTGGTGGTCGTGTCCAAGCTGCCCTGGTGGTTCTGGGGGGTCTGAGGCCACTCAGGGTCTCCAGAGCCACGTCCTTCTCTGTCAGCCAGCACTCGGGGTTTTCCTGCTGTGGTTCTTAATCCCTGTTACTGGATGATTTAATGTTTTGGTTGAATCACAGATGAAAAGAAAGCAGGAAAAGGGCTGTCTTCCCACCCAGCCTACAAGCTATAAACATGGAGCAATTCCATCTGGATGGCAGTCACTCCCAATCCCCCTCTGATGTGCCTGGGCTTGGACCCCTCCCCTCCCCATCCCAAAACCCAAACAGCTCCAGCAGATCTCCCTTTTTGTTGGCAGGAGGACCTGAAGATCTCCCACCACGCAGACAACACCTTGAAAAGCTTCTGCAAGTGGCAGAAGAGCATCAACGTGAAGGGAGACTCGCACCCCCTGCACCACGACGTGGCCGTGCTGCTCACCAGGTGTGGGGCCCACACAGGGCTGGGACAGCCAAAAACCCACCTGGCTGCAGGTGGGACAGCCAGGGAACATCTCCTGGCAGCTCTTGGAGTCTCACTCTCCCTGCCTGGACACCTGCACATAAGATCTGTGATGTGAATCTGGGGACATTTCCCAGTGGCTGCAGCTGCTGTGGAAGGTGGCCCTGCCCATGGCAGGGGGTGGATTTAGATGATCTTTAGGATCCCTTCCAACCCAAAGCGTTCCATGAGTCTGCGATTCCATGGACTGGTCCAGATCTCAGGTTTACACCTGGACACAGCTCCCAGCTGAGGTTTCCAAAACAGGTTTTCACCGTGGCCCCGTTGCCAAGCCCCAGAAGGGCTGGATCCAGGAGCTGTACATGGCATCAACTCTCCTTTTTCCCTCAGAGGCTGGGCTTGGCAGAGGAGCCCCTGGGAAGCCCCTGGCCTCCCACGGAGCTGGCAGGAGTTCCTGCCTCTGGCCAAGTTTGTGTACCTTGCAGTCAGAGCCTGCTTTGAGGCTTTCAGGCTGCCTGAGCTGGCTGCTGTGGTGCTTTGGGTGATGATTCACAACCCACAGCAGCTCTGTCTTCCCAGGGAGGTTGCTTTGTAGCAGAAATGAGGCACTTCAGGCCTTGTACTTCAGTGGGGCTGTTCTTCCTGGGTGGCTGGAGCTGCCCTGGAAAACCACGGCACCTCTGGGATGTGCTTCCCCAAAGCATTGTTTGATTATCCCCAGCATCAGCTTTATTTATACAAGGGAATAAATGCAGCCAGGCTGGCCAGCAGCTCCCATTAATCAGGCTTAATGGTGAGCTGGGGATACTGGGAGAAGAAAGGGGGAAGGAAAGGTCACAAATGTTTCCCCTGTGGAAGGAAGCTGGATGTCCTGCTCTCACTCCTGTTTGGCCGCTGTCCGTGTGCCGCGTCCTGCCGCCTTCCAACGCCCTCTCTGCTCTCTGTCTGTCTGTCTGTCTGTGTGTGTGTCCCCTCGGCCAAGGAAGGACATCTGTGCTGCCATGAACAGGCCCTGTGAGACCCTGGGGCTGTCCCACGTGGCCGGGATGTGCCAGCCCCACCGGAGCTGCAACATCAACGAGGACACGGGGCTGCCGCTGGCCTTCACCGTGGCCCACGAGCTGGGACACAGGTACCACCCTCCTCCTCCTCCTCCTCCTCCTGTTCTCTGCGTGCACCTGGGGCTGGAGAGGGCACGGGGGAAGGTGGGAGAGGCTTCCCAGGTGTGGGTGCAAACACTCCCTTGCTCCCTGAGGGTTTCATTCCAGAGATAAGTTTTGGGTTGTCCCACGTTTAATGAGAACACACAATCCAAGGCAACCTGGAGAAATTGCACCTGTGTATTGTCCTGGGGTGGTGTGGGAAGGTTCTGGAGCAGGGGTTGCCCATTGAGAGGTTTTTAAGTAGGACCTGTCTGTAATATCAGCGACAGAATTTTGCTTGTCCTGCTTTCAGTTAAATTTGACAAGATCACTTGAACATTGCAGTTTCAGTTAGACATAGACATCTAACTGAAGACATAGACATTCCCAATAGACATCTGCATGTGGGAAAGCACCCACCAGTGAGATGTTGTTGAATATCCTTGGGTTTTCAGTGGGGAAGCTGCAGTGAGAGCAGGGACAGAGCTCAGGGCTGTCAGTGCACATGCCCAGGGCAGTCCCTGCTGCGGGGCCGGGAGCG